TGTGTTAAATTGGGTCCGGCTGTCTGGTTCCAAGGTAGCCAAAATTCAGCAAGTTGGGTACCAGTAGAGTGATTAAGGCAAGAATTTATTTTTAGAAATAATACATATACGAGACGTTTATTATATACTATTTCATTTTTAAGAAACAATGTTTAAACATTCAAAAATCAGATGATAAATAATATATAAATATGTATAGTATATATATTAAATTTAGATTCTAATAAAATATTCATCTTTAAATCAAGCATTCAGTTATGAGGTGTTTCCATTCCAAATAGGACTCTCCATTTTAACAAATTGATAGGATCAAACAAAGAGAAAAGCTATTGAGAACTCTTCAGAGCAAATAAATCTTGAATCCTACGGTCGAAATCTGGCTAATTGAAAACAGTCGAACTATTGAGGCAATAAATTGAAAGTTATCAGCGCTACACACTTTTTGAAGGCAACGGTCACAAATTGGGATTATAATAGAAGTAGTGAATTGATATTGGTGATCATCACCAAGTAGATTTGAAGGAATATAGCGGATAACATTGTATTGTTGTTGGAGCTTCCAATTTTTGAATTTTCGAAACAATGTTGAAGCTCCAATCGTGAGTTGTTGTGATGGAAATTGAAACAATACATTAGCCTATAAACTGTGATATTGAAAAGATTCATTGACATGTACACCGTGAGTTGCTGTGATGAAAATTGAAAAGATTCATTGTTACCTTGATGTTGATCAAATGGCCTATAAATAGTTTTTTGTGATATGTGACATGTTGATATGGATCTGTGACCTATGCACCATGACACGTGACTTGTGAACTATTACATGTGATATTGATCCAATGAACTATGGTCAGATCTCTTGGATCTGTGACCTGTGATTCATGCACTATGACATGTTATCAGTGCACAAATACATGTGACATACGATCCGTGATCAATTAATTTTGATCTGTGACGTGACCTATACAATGTGACATGTGAAGTGTGACCTGTAACATGTGACTTGTGAATATAAATTAGTGATGTATGATTAGTTCTATTTAATCGGTAACCCGTGGACATTGATCTGTAACCTATATTCAATGACCTATGACATGTGAATTGATACTTGTGACATGTAACGTATGAACTGTGATTTGTGAACTTGAATCTATGATCTGTTATCGGTGCACAAAGACATATGACATCTAATTTGTGACCGGTTAACTTTCATCGGTGACCTATTGATATTGATTTGCAGCCTATACACTATGACTGTGACCTATGAATATAAATCAATTATCCGCGACCAATTTTATTTGATGTATGACCCATGAACATTGATCAGTAACCTATGCCCAATTTTTTGTGAACGAGTATCTATGACATGACATGTAACAAGTGTATATAAAACCTTATCAGTGCAAAAAGACACATTTAAGTTGTTTTCTACACACAGTAATTTCAATAACACTTGACATGTCACCCAAATACTAAGTACAAGAGCTTTTCAGATACCAAAATACAACTAACAACCTCAGAATGTTTTGAAATCCCTCTCTCCCAATTATCTAATCCTAACTTGAAAGGAAACCTTTAGAGATCATATAACTCATCCTAATAAAAAATACAATACTCTCACACTTCTTTGCCCTTTTTACTTTTGGAATTTTCAAAAAAAAAAAAAAAAGATGAAAGATGAAAGAAAGAGTGTTAACATAGTGAATGACTCTATATTACGTCGAATGAATCTCAACTATTGGATTGATCGAATGGCTTTTTGAATTAGCTTAACTATGTCCATGCCTTAGCGATTGACGTTGCACCCAACGACAACCATCGATTCCATCAGACTGTGCACAACGGCTCCTAATTGATTTGTCGAATTGTGACATTAAGATAAAGAAAGAAAATCGATCGAAAAAAGAGAGAGAGAGAGAGAGGGGGAGGGGGGTTCTATTTCCATAGATATAGAAAGCAAGAGAGCAAATCCCTTTTTGTAAATGTAGAGAGAGAATACAAATTATTTTAAATGATATGTGATTGTAGTGATAAAGATGAAAGTTTTTGTTGATTTCGAATTAATTTTTACCCATCCTCAAATATATGTAATTATTTATAATTAGAACTTATATTATTATATTTTTGTATAAACAAACCATAAAACTAGGGGTGGACAAAATGTCCAAACCAAACCAAATCAAGCGGTTTGATTCAATTCTAAACAAAAAATTAATAGTTTTGGTTCTTCGAACAAAAAACCATTTAACCAAACAGAGGACCAAACTTAATTTATAATTTTATTTTGTATGAATTTGATTTTATGTTAATTGAAGCCAGTCCAATAGCCATTATTTTGGTAGAACCCATAAAACGTGTTTAGCCTATTAATTTTAATTGTATTCAATATTTATGTTTAAACATCACTTCAATGCATTATTTCAAATTCATACCCTCAAAGTCCAAAACACCTCCAGACACCTTCCTAAATTCCTAATCCCTCAAACCTCAAACAACGCAGCTTTTCTGTGTGAAAACTCCAAGAGATGTGCTCGTCATTCCTGTATCTACAGTTGCTTCTGAGTCCGCATTTAGTACTAGATGGCGCATTCTTGATTGTTTTAGGACTTCTTTAACTCCTACAACAGTTGAAGCTCTGATTTGTACCCAAAATTGGTTATGAGAAGAATATAGGCTTTTGAGAGTAACTCAAGACAGAAATTGCATTGATGGAGTTCTATGACGAAATTGAATCTAGTAAAATTTATTTTAAAAAATATTATTACGTTACATCTTATTAATTGTAAATTGTTTTAATTTATTTTTGTTTGTTTTATTTGTGTATTTGGAATTATGTTTGTAGAGTTTCTCAAAGTTACAACATAAGTAATGGAGTATTAAACGATTAATGATTATCTGATGGTAAGGGCTAAGTTGCTTGGCTTGGTCATTTTGTCACCACCCATGCCTATTAGTTTCGAGTTTTAACTTTATATTTCAGTTTCATATTTCATTTTTTTCATGTCGGTTTAACGGTTTCATGTAAAGAAATTGATTGGTCGGAGGATGAAAATAGAATTCGATATTATTAACTTCTCGCAATTAGGGGTTGACGTGGTTTCATTTGGTCCTGGTTCCAAGAGAATCAAACCGAACCATGAACCAATGATTTTTTTTATAATCGAACCAAATAGTTTTTTTTCAGATGCGGAACCGGTCCAAACTGAACTATCTGGTTCGGTTTGGTTTGGTTTGATTTGGTCTGATTTTAGTACTATTACTTAAATTTTCAGACTTGCATCATATCTATAAGTTACTAATATGCACTTAAATAAAAAAAATAAGCATCAACCATTTTGCAAGTTCAAATTATCAATAATCAAGATCATACAAGTCCAAATTAACAAACAAAATATAAACTAATGAGTCATTGCGAGAAGTTAATAATATCGAGTTCTATTTTCATCCTCCGTCCAATCAATTCCTTTACGTGAAGCCGTTAGACCTACATGAGAAAAATGAAATATGAAACTGAAATATAAAATTAAAACTCGAAACTAATACACAAGGGTGATGACAAAATGACCAAGCCAAGCAACTTAGCCCTTACCTTCAGATAATCATTAACCGTTTAATACTCCATTACTTATGTTGTAACTTTGAGAAACTCTACAAACATAATTCAAAATATACAAATAAAATAAACAAAAATAAATTAAAACAATTTACAATCAATAAGATGTAACGTAACAATATTTTTTAAAATAAATTTTACCAGATTCAATTTCGCCATAGAATACCATCTCCTCAATGCAAATTCTGTCTTGAGTTACTCTCAAAAGCCTAGATTCTTCTCATAACCAATTTTGGGTACAAATCAAAGCCTCAACTGTTGTAGGAGTTAAAGAACTCCTAAAACAACCAAGAATGCACCATCAAGTACTAAATGCCGACTCAGAAGCAACTGTAGATACAGGAATGACAAGCACATCTCTTGGAATTTTCACATAGAAAAGCTGCGTTGTCTGAGGTTTGAGGGATTAGGAATTTAGGAAGGCGTCTGGAGGTGTTTGGGACTTTGAGGGTTTGAATTTGAAATAATGCTTTGAAATGATATTTAAACACAAATGTTGAATACAATTAAAATTAATGGGCTAAACACGTTTTATGGATTGTATCAAAATAATGACTATTGGGCTGACTTCAATTAACATAAAATCAAATTCATACAAAAAATAAAATTATAAATTAAGTTTGGTTCTCGGTTCTAGAATCAGAATCGAACCAAAACTATAACCAAATAGTTTTTTGTTCGAAGAACCAAAACTATTAATTTTTTGTTTAGAATCGAATAAAACCGCTAGGTTTGGTTTGGTTCGGTTCTGGTTTGGACATTTTGTCTACCCCTACTCGCAATGACTCATTCGTTTATATTTTGTTTGTTAGTTTGGACTTGTATGACCTTGATTATTGATAATTTGAACTTGCTAAATGTTTTATACTTATATTTTTTATTTAAGTGCATATTAGTAACTTATAGATATGATGCAAGTCTGAAAATTTAAGTAATAGTACTAGAATCATACCAAACCAAATTGAACCAGAACCAAATGTTTCGGTTCGATTCAGATCGGTTTTGCATCTTTAAAAAAACTATTTTGTTCGATTATAAAAAAACCATTGGTTAATGGTTCGATTCGATTTTATTGGAACCACGTCCACGCCAACATAAAACATCATCTGCCTCCCGTGTAATCTCCACTTTATTTTTGATGTATTTTTTGTCCTTTCTTTTAGAACCGACCGACCCTCGAGTGTAATTCCTTGAAGGGTAAAACTATTCGTCCACGGAGGTTTACACCTCCGTTTACACTCCCCTCACATGAGGCGGAGGGCCCACAATGAATAAAATAATCGTGGATCCCCCATTGTGAGGGGGCATGTGGGACCGGATAAAACGGGAGTGTAAACCCCAGTTTACGAACAGCATAGTCATTCTTTGAAACACCAGCACTGTCGCTATGAACTTCTCATCTGTCAGATACGATTCCAACGCCATCTTCGTTGGGCCCCACAATCTCGCCCGATCTCAATCCCATGCTCACGTTTTCCCCCACAACCAGCCGCAGTTGCGGAGGAATTTTATTGATTTCAAGAGATTCGATGTTGTTTGCGCGTTAGCGAAAACTACTTCTCGGGTAAACCAGTCCGACTCGGAACTGAATCGAATCGAGTCACTGAGTCAGGTCTCTGGCGTGCTGGGTTGCCAGTGGGGTGATGAAGGCAAAGGAAAGCTCGTAGACATACTCGCAAAGCACTTCGACATTGTCGCTCGGTGTCAGGTACATATACACACATGAACATTGGAATGTTTTACTTTTCAATTACATGATGATTTCTAAGTAAATTAGTAACATTAAGTTACTTATTTACTTTCTGAAATTCGTTAATACTTTCTCAAATTTTATTAGTCGCTGGATTAGTAAGTTTTGATAATAGTTTAAGTTAGGACAGGTCGAACTTTTCCTCTATTAGAACTAAATTGAATAATATTCTACAAAAATGCTTCCCCTGGAATATGCTTTCTTCAACCTGTTGAAGCTTTTGTTATAGAGAAGGAAGTGTGACTTGCGCTGTTAGTATATTTAATTATACCCAATGTCCTATCTTATGAGAAATGAAACATGAGGCTGTAGTCTTTTATTGTTATATGCCAATATTTTTTAAAATAAAATTTCATTTCTGCTATTTTAAATACAAACTGAAGGAGTAATTTTGTTTTCTCCATTCATATGATTATGAGAGAGAACGTTAATATTTGGAATTAGTCTAGTAGGCACTTGATTTTCCATCCTCTTGAACTAGTTTCCCTAATTGCATCAGTAGATAGAGCTTGTGAACAAGCCACCCAATATTGTCGTTGTTGACACAGAAAATTGTCTTGAATTTCTCTTTTTCCATATTCTTTTCCTTGGTTTATTTTGGAGCCTTCAAAATTATTTGATGGCAGGGTGGATCTAATGCTGGGCACACTATCTATAACTCAGAAGGCAAAAAGTTTGCGCTTCACCTTGTTCCTTCTGGTATTCTCAACGACGAAACTGTCTGTGTAATTGGTAATGGGGTCGTGGTGCATCTGCCTGGATTCTTCAAAGAAATCGATGGCCTGGAATCTAATGGTGTCTCTTGCAAAGGAAGGATATTGGTATCTGATCGCGCTCACTTGTTATTTGATTTTCATCAAGAAGTTGATGGGCTTAGAGAAGCTGAGCTTTCTAAATCCTTCATTGGAACTACTAGAAGAGGCATTGGACCGTGCTATTCAAGCAAGGTTATCCGGAATGGCATAAGAGTAAGTGACTTGAGGCATATGGATACTTTTCCCCAGAAGCTTGATCTTTTATTGTCAGATGCAGCTTCAAGATTCCAAGGTTTTAACTATGGCCCTGACATGCTCAGGCAAGAAGTTGAACGATACACGAGATTTGCTGAGAGGTTGGAACCCTATATTACTGATACCGTGCATTTTATGAATGATGCTCTCTCTCGCAAAAAGAAGATACTAGTTGAAGGTGGTCAGGCAACTATGTTAGATGTCGACTTTGGAACTTATCCCTTTGTAACTTCCTCTAGTCCATCAGCTGGAGGAATATGCACAGGTCTTGGCATCGCTCCTAGAGTTGTTGGTGATCTTGTAGGTGTGGTAAGTGGTTTTCTATTTTGTTTTCTTTTCTTAGAAATTAATCCCACCCTTTGTGACTGCTGAAGCTTGAATCTTACCAATACTTCCATTTCAACATGAAACCAGAAGTGCTTTTTAGTGAAAATTGTTGCCTGAATGTCCTATTTTGATTAGCTCTGAAACGTGTTACTCGGAAATGCATTCAAATGAGATGAAACAGGTTGCAGGTGTTGTAGTAAAACCATGTGTCATTTGTGCCATTAATTCATATAGTGAACAGTTTAGACTTTTTGTTCTCGATTGGCAATGTCTAATGCAGGTCAAAGCGTATACTACAAGAGTTGGTTCTGGTCCGTTCCCAACGGAAATTTTGGGTAAAGGTGGTGACCTACTTAGGTTTGCTGGACAGGAGTTTGGCACAACAACTGGTCGTCCACGTCGTTGTGGCTGGCTTGATATAGTTGCACTGAAGTACTGCTGTCAAATAAATGGCTTCTCCTCATTGAACCTTACCAAGCTCGATGTCTTGTCAGAGCTACCAGAAATTCAGTTGGGCGTTTCATACAAACAAATTGATGGTATATCAATCCAATCATTCCCTGCAGATCTTCGTGCTTTGGAGCAAATCAAGGCAAGCTTTAATTTTGTCATTTCGTATTTTTTGGCCTGTGATTTTCTCAGGGTTCTTCTCCTTTTTGTGGTTTGAGTTACTAATCTAATTTAAGTTAAAAGGGTGGAAGGTATGGATGTCCAACATATAAGAAAGAACACCTCAAATATACAATTTTACTGATTCTCATTCCCCCAAGACCCCATATGCCCTCAAATGGCAGTCACGGATGTGAGATGTAGTCAGTAGTGGTAGATAATTATTATTATTATAGATTTATATTGAGTTCTGTACCAGGAATTCCGAGAGGTGATGTCTGCTAACTTCTCTCTCTTCCTACGAGTTCTGAATTTGCTCATCTTATATAAGGTCCTTTTGGTGGTGTTGCTTTCTTCTGCATGTTTAGGTGGAATATGAAGTTTTGCCTGGGTGGCAGTGCGATATTTCCTCCATCAGAAAGTATGATAAACTGCCAAAGGCTGCACGTCAGTATGTCGAAAGGATAGAAGAACTCGTTGGTGTACCCATTCACTACATTGGAATTGGGCCAGGACGTGATGCCCTCATATACAAATGAATATCAGACTTAGCATTTCCGTGCAGATATTTTCTCTAGGCAAGAAGTATTTTGTGAAAACAGGAAACTCAATTGGTGAACAAAAATAGTGTAACAATGTATGTTTACGTTGTCTCTGGAGGCTGATTTTGATCATGTATGCCGAATTTTTTTTGTATTGTACTGGGCCTTCAAAACAAAACCCTGTAGCGAATTCACAAGAAGATTTTGGCACTGTGCTATCAGCTATCGTGCTAGTGACAAACCAGTTTCGAAGTTGTTCAATTGTTTCTTGTCCCCAATAGCCGTCCGCGTAGATTTCTCCAAGTATAAAGCTTCTTCCCTGTGGTATAATGTCTCTTAGAGGTAGTTTTCTTTCCTGTAAAAAAGGGATCTGCAAACATGTTGGAAGGCATATGAATTTTGATGATCGTGTGAACCAAAAATTTTGACAATAGCTTGGGGATTGTTCACTTCTATTGAATGTTTGGGAGTTTTATGTTCACATCTGGCTGATTACCTGTTTTACTTTGGTATATGGATAACTATACCTGTTAACATTGGTTGATAGAGTCTAAACATCCAAACTTTGATACATGCAGTGTGTCAAACGGGATGATTACTTGTTCTCCATCAATCTTCTCCATCAGCGTTCATTTTAGCATATCAAACATGCAAACAGTAAATTAAGATCTAGGGATCAAATAGGGATAACAAAACAAACTTAACGTTGGAGAATTGGTAATCCAACTTGGGATTCATGGTTTGTTTTTCATAGTTCTGCAGAAAAGAAATGCTTCTTTTCTTTTGTCATGAAGATTTTATGACATGAATACAATTTGTATCAACAGAACTTGAAATGAAAATGCGGCCTTCTCATAATGCAATTTTCCTCTGATGAAAAATACTTTTGAATAATGCAGAATAGTTCAAAGACGCGACAATCTGACTCGGTTTATTCTGCCAATTGAACATTTTTCGATTCTCTATTCCAGCCTCCATCCTCATTGTACAATCCAGAATAGAAATTTAGCAAAGAGAGATTATTCACTGTTGATGGTCGAAAATCCAATGGATTATTCCACTGCTCAGTTTTCTCCTCAGACCATCTCATCTTCACATTTTCAATATCCAAACCGTCTATATGCTCCATCATGAACCCTGCGGTGCTATGATTGACGAGCCCCTGGCAACCTGGCCTATAGTCTACGAGGCCATCTGCATATTTGGTCCACCTCGTGTAAGTCAGGTTCACGTTTATGAACTTCAGATTGCTAAGGATTCCGCCTTTGGATCCTGATAAGAAGATACCGTTTTCAGAAGTTGCAGTAATGTTTACAAATTGGAGATTAGAGATGGAGCCTGCTTTTGAACTGTCATCTCTTGGGCAAGTAGTCACATAGATAGGCTCGGCTCTACCCCACCACGAGGGATCATAATATCTCGTGCTGATATTTATGTTCGAGAAAGTAATGTCACTAACGTTCCCTGAAATGGCACAAATTATCCATAAGACAGACCATCTAAAGCAAATTTTGGTAAATTTCATTAGTCATAAAACCATAGGTACTCAGATACTTGGACTTCCAACGGAGTTTAAGAGAGAAGATTTAAGCTGGGAAGAAATGGTAACGATAGTCCTGAGCTCGTATTCTACATAAAATAGGCTTCCAAAAGGCGCAAGTGGTCTCAGCATCTTGATATCAATATTCTTCTAGTGCAGGATAAGGATTAAACTAAGGCATAAATAAAGCACTGAGATGGACAACCATATTCGAAAGGAATACACTAACAGGCATCAGGTTTTCAAAAAACAACATAAGCCAGTAATGAAATAGAAGAAGCTGATTACAGAAGAATGTGAAACAGAACCCTCTACCTCCATCTCGTATTTGTAATCCAAGCCCTCGATGAGATTCCACAATCGTGATGTTGTCAAACACCAAACCTTTGAATGAATACCAACTAGCGCTGCCAAGTTTGATCGCTGAAGACTTTGTTCTAATCCAGCAGTTGGTTGCAGTGAGATTATAGAGGGGACTGGTGTATGTTTTTGGGCATATGGCATCATCCCCTGTATCGATTTTGCATCTTGTGATGAGTGTATTATTGGAATCTTCAATATCCATACCATCGTTATTAGGCGTGTTAAAGTCTCCATATATTGAAATGTCATGAATTGACGTGTTCTCACAGCGAACAATGTGCAAGCTGTGATATCGCACAACCTGTTAGCAATTGGGATGATAGAACCGGAAAAGCAAATACTAGTTTATATCTTGGAAATCGTATTGACCTCCCAAACAATAATTTCATCAAAACGGTTAATGCCACCAGAGTCATAACAACATCTATATAGCGACAAAGAATGCAGTATTCTTCGGCCATTTATTAGGATTTCGTTCTCGAGTTTTAAAGCCTAGCTTATCTCCGCCGCCATCTATGATTAAGTACTTTTGACATGCTTGAGCTGGCTTAGTTGAGAGATCAAACGCTATATGAGAGAGAGACATGGTATGCACTTTTTCTAATATTTTGATGCTAGTAGTCACAAGAATTATAGGTGGACAAAGTTCAAGTTGTTAGGGATTCCCAACTACAAGAGTAATAACAAGCAAAATGAAAGTTCACTCCAACGTGGGAGCCAAATCCATATAGTGTTTAGGTTTTAATGAAAGAAGTGTACAAGTATCTTTACACATCTTAAGTGGTGGACGCAGCCAATTGAGAATAAATTAAGACGACCACTGCTCAAGTAATAAATTAAAGAAATGATGACTTAGTAGTTAATAGCGGCACGTTTTGCTATGTTCATAAAAACCTTATCCGATCCTAAGTACTAGAAGCAAACCCATGAACAATCAAAGACTGAGAAAAGTGAAAAAGTAGACATACCACCAATAAGCTGGTTCGTGGAGTTTGACGTCCCAGATTTCGACATTCCGACAACCAATGAATCCGACCAGCCGGGGTCTACACTCATCACCCAAACACGCACCAGTCTTATTCCAACTCACCATCACATTCTTCCTCTCATCAAATCTCTCCACAAATTTCCACCCCTGCCCATTAATCTCCCCGCCACCAGTTATCCCGACGTCCACCGCATTCTCCGCCACCACCACGTACCACTTTTCTTGTTTTTTAGGGTAGTCTTCCAATCTACTGCCGCCCAATATGGTGGCGTTTTTTTGGATATTCAAAAAGACCCTGGATTTCAAGTACAGTGTTGCAGTTAAGTACTTGCCAGGTGGGAAGGTGACAAGGCAGTGGGAGCCAAGGAGGGCGGAGGAGGCGGAGACGCAGGCATCGATTGCTGATTGGATAGGGATGGTGTCATAATGGTTGCCAGTTCCGGTGGCGCCGAAATCGACGACGGAGAAGGAGAGACGGAGGTTGTGATGGTTGGATTGGAGGATGGAGATGCGTGAAGTGGCGAAGTGGGATTGGAGGGTGGTGAGAACTAATTGGAGAAGTAATTGGATGTAAATTTTGAATACCATTCTGTTGAAATTGTATATAGAAATTGGATCAGATTACAATCTGCAGAAAGTAATGCTTACAGTATCAATTTGATGGGAGAAATCATTTCTTTTACTTATCCAAATAAGTGCCTCTTTTGTCCGTATTAAAATCTGATTTTAATTCAAGTCAAAATCAAACAATCAATATTAAGCACATCTTTCACGAATCTCACAACTTTTCAACCACACATTTCAAAAACTTCTATCACAATTTATTAAAAATTTAATTTTAATCCCCACCAAACATCCTCTAAATTCTTATAGACAATCATATTATGCTGTAATTTTTCAATTTCAATTCTGGGACCTAAATTTTTTGAAAATGGAATTCTTTTTGTATATAACTTTTTAATTACGACATTCTCACGGTTCCTATTTTGGGTAGTCTCAATTTCCGATATGTAACATTTGCTGTTGTCTGTTGATGGATGGTTATATATAAATCATAGTCAAACAGAGCAAGACAGAGATACGAAGAGACATGTAATTTTATTAAAGTAGAGGACAGAGATACAAAGAGACATGTAATTTTATCCATTAGCTTTTTTTGAATAATTTAAAACTTAAACTTTGACGAGTGGAACTTAAAGAGTAAAAGACAAGTAACAGAATAATTATTAGATATTTCACACTTCACGACAAATAAAAGCTAGGATCAACGTGTGATCAATTCCGAAAGAAATAATGATAATTTGGACAATTGAAACACTTGTGGAAAAAGTCTCGTTTATACAAATGATGTAGTTCCAATAAATAAGTTAGAAGAACGAGGGAGAACGAAAATTCACATATATTGTCATTACGAAGATCTAACTACGTTGAATCTTTTCAAGATGTAGCGATATATTGGATACTAGGGTTGGGCAAAATGTCCGAACCGAACCAAATTGAATCGAGCGGGTTTTTTTAAATGAAATACCCGAACGGGTATCCGAATCGAGAACCGAATGGTTTGGTTCGATTCTCGGTTCTAGACCAAGAACCGAAGAATCGAATAAGAACCGAATTTTTTTTTTATATTGAATAAATCAATTTCTTTTATTTTTTCTAAACAAATTAATAATTTTTTTCTTATTAAATCTTATTAATTGAACAATTTAGAGTTTATTTATATTTGTTAGTTGTGTTTTTTTCAATTTTTTCTTGTATAGTCTCTTANGTTAATATTGAACTTGATATTTATATCTACTTTTTGTTAAACTTGGTATTTATATCTACTTTTTGTTTTATTAGTATTAGTATCTATTTTCATGTGTATTTATGTAGTATTATTCTAAATGTTAAAAAAATTAATTATAGTACGGAACCGAATCGAACCGAACCCGAACAGTTCCAAAATTATATTTGAAACCGACGGTTCCATTTATTAAATACCCGAAAATTTCTGGAACCGAAAAAAACCAAACCGAATCGAACCGACCCGCGCCCACCCCTACTGAATACCAGTGAAAAACAGTTTTTATAGCATTCATCTCATACATTACACATGAAGACTGAATGACTATCTAAGCTAGTTTTGACATATCTATTTAGATAGCGAGCTAACCCTCCTCTAGTAGAGGCAGATATAGAATGTCTCTGTCACACTCCATTTCCCCAACTACCTATAATTTCTATATACATTTCCGATCTATACAAGGCTAGCTACCAGCAATTTTGCACTCCCTTCAGGACTCCTCCATCTTCACCGACTTGAGTGCAGAGAAGCTGCACCTGCAACGTAAAATAATATGATCAACCAAGCATCTCGCAGTCTAAATTATTTTTCAATAGCATGTTCGACTAAGCTTAAAAAGAGTAAAAGTTAATTTTAAGCTTCTATTTTGCCAAACATAATGTTTAAAAGAAATTTTATTTACTAGCAAAACTCTTTTTTATAGAAAAGTAACTTTTAAGCTTAGCCAAACAAGCTTGTACATTCCACAGATGAAAATAACACGATGCAGAACATCAGAAAGACAGCAGACTGCCTCGAATTGAATTAACAAAACAAAAGCTCACTAACAGAGAAAAAGCAATTTTTTTTTTTGGTTGCGAAGGTTGGGGGTGGGGAAGAAACTAAAATATCATCAGAGATTCAGATTGTGGCTTACCTGTTTTTCTTGAAGTGTCGTACCTTAAAAGGGAGTTCTCCGGAGTAATGAAGTTAGAGTTGTTATCTTCTCCAACCCAGACAGATTGATGAAGTCCATCGAAATGCCGCAGCTGTTGATTTTGTTGTCTGTTCCCATTGATTTGTCCCTCAGGCCAGATTGACGGAGTAAACATGTCCGGGTAGCCAGTATCCATTGGGGATCCACACTAGAAGGTTCGAAATATTTATACAAGAACATTACAACGCGAGAAGGAAGACAAATCAAATGCCTAGCACATATTTTCAATGGCAATTCTGCCAATTAACTTGAAGCTATCTAGACTTCCTCATCATTGGACCACAAGATTTACAGGTTCGGTAACATTTGAAAATATAAGTTAAAATGGAAAAAATGATAATCGAGGAGAGGACTATTGTCATTTTGAAAGAGTGTTCTGGTACCCATTCCAAGGATTCATCTTGGAAGGTCCAGGCACGTATATTTTCTAATTTCAAGTCATGTTAGACATGCATCCAAAGTGTCGGCATAACATGGTTTTAACTCAAATTAGCTGATTGTCAAGCAATTTAAAAGCCCTCTTTCGAATCCCCATCCCACTGTAAAATAATACAAACAGGAAAATTACGCCATTTTTAGAAGATAACAAGAAAGTTCCTTGAAATTATTAAATAAATTCGTAGTTCCAACTGAGATCAGGCCACAACTACAAATAAATTTACGTTACTGTTTTCGATATGCTACCATTGCATAAAAGACTAATAATAGAGTAGACATTTGCAGGATGGACAGGGCAAGAAGTCCTTAGGCTAGATGGCACAAATAGACTTAGGTTGTTGTTCCACTTTATGCTTTGCCTAAATTTTATTATTGCTGTTCTAGTTAATAATGCCTGTAATGGGAGTAGTACCCCTAAATTTATTACTCTGGAAGTATAGTTTAGGTCCCCATCCCTTTTACATCAATAAAAGGAGAGTAATGTTATTCAGTCCCATTGGTGCTTAGCACCAGTCTAAGTGGCACCTAGATGTCATTAAATGATAGATGCATTTAAATGCAAAGTCAAATTATTCATTTAATTGGATCTATCAAGTGTGGCCTCTTAGATTGGTGATCTAGCACACTGGTGCTAGATAGCATTATTCTAAAAGGATAGGAGAATCCAAATGCCCAAATGCTAGAAAGCAATTTCTTTCTTAGCATTTCTTCTGGCAAACATTGATTACGGACTTGAAAAAAAAAACTTACTTCTGCAGCCAAGAGAGTGTCGTGGTTCAAAAGTTGGGGTAACAGTGGCAAGTCTCATAGATAAGAACTGAAGTGAAAGAAACATTACCAATCAGCAGATGGTCAAAGGCAATAAAACATATGGGAGTACAAGACTGGACCATTAATAAGTTGAGTCTATTATTAATATTGTTCCTTGATCAAAATCAGCGATCTGGAAGGATAAAATCAACTTTCATTACCTAGCAATGTCTCTAGATTTAGTGACAAGGTCAAATCATGTTCTCTTTAAAATGCACCAAGTCTCAAATCGTCATTTATTTCTTAATATCCCTTCGAATTGAAATTCAGAACAAGGATAAACCGACACATTGAGTTTAGCATTCATACATAAGTGGCAAGGACGCTGAATCTAACCTCCACTTGAGATTGAAGGGTTTGTACATGATTTATTATCTCATCCAGAACCATTGCAGTACCTGAAATCTGTAGAACCAAATTAACAACCTCTTAGTTATTTTACCGAGACAAATATCCACCTTAAGTTATCAGGTAAAAACCAGATTTCAATACTTTACAATTAAGATGACATTTCATCGGTGCTTAACATAAGACGAGGCTCATCAGATCATTCATGTATACACAACACACACACAATTAATGACATTGCTAGTAGCACATTATACATTAAGTTCTACCATTTCCTCTATCCTAATTTTTTTATTTTAAAATTTTCCAAATTGCACATGATTTCGTCGAATAAAATTTCTTCTTCCCCTTTCTGTTTTCTTTGTCATCATTTTTTCTTTATTAAAACTGCATGGCCAAGCAGGGGCAAATAAGAAGCTGTGTTAGCGGCCATGCTCAGCACCGGTAAGACGAAAATATTGAGAAGACAAACCTTGGTTGCAGTAGTAGCAAGCATTGACTAAAGAAGATCAGTAATTTCAAAAGATTTTCTATTGGAAATATTTTTTGCTCATATTCCCTTAGAAGTTTTAATTTCTCACTAATCAGCCAAAATATCACATACAATCTTAAAATGATTCAACTGTGGAAGAACAAGTCGCAAAATAAATCCTTAGGAAATGATAGAAATCTATAATTAACATTATTAGAACAGATTTTGCACAAATCAGCACACAGCTAAAACCAAATTTCATTGATAAATGCTTACATTGCTACTGTTCATCAGGCATTAAGTCTTTTAGATCAATGAAGATATTACCATTGGTGGAAAATAATTCAAAAAACTCGCAAGAACTATTTTTTTAACTCAATAAATATTAAATAGTGCTTTATTCCATAAATTACAAGAAACTATAAGGTAGAAAGGATTCTGTTACCTCTACCTTTCTTAAACATATAACACAGGACTTTGGACCCCATATATGTAACTAGATCCCACCATATAGTGGTCTATGCAGTCAATTGACAATGTAAACGAAAAAACTACCATATTGTGGCAGAAAAACCTACTAAAAATTTCATTACTGTTAGGTTCCCGATGGCCGATCATTTTGATAGGTTCCTGACGGCTGCTGTTGGTTCTACAGGTGATCATCTTGCTGAAGGATTATAGAAGAGAAGAAGTGATGAAATATATTGTTTATTGAATTGTTAAAAGAAGTTACAACTGTAGATGAACCGATGAAATGCAAACAGAAATTGAAAGAACGACTCCAAGGCTTTCAAGAGGCCTGGAGCTCTCCTAATTGGCCCAACCAACTACTCAATATTTCCCCCCAACACATTCTACCTCTTCTCTATTTATATGTATTTTGTAACCAAATCTAACAGAATTTGTTACTATTAACTACTTCTCAATTCTTCTAGATCCTTCTAGAGCTTGATAGGAGTCTATCAATACTTCTACTGTTTCTTGAGTCCAGCACCTGACAACATTAATATTGACATGGTTCCGTAAATTTTAGAAGGCCAGGATCGATGATCCAGAAAAGATTTAACCATGATAATTTTAGCGGTTCTTCTCTTTCTGCTTGTAACACAAAGAGCAAGAACTAATGAACGATAACCTCAATCTTTGTTTATATAACATACAATGCCCAGTCCCATCTATATTAGTTGACACTGTTTGTTCCTTTTGAAATCACTCAAATTCCTAACTTTAAAAATTCATCTGTACTTGGCAATCAGTGTGTCTTGAATTGTCTTGTCAACTCCAAAATATACACTTCTGATCAAGGACGAAGAAAAAAATAAACAGTAGAACAGTATAAAAAATGAGTAGAAATAGGACCCGGATAGCGAATAACTTGCTAACTAAGCGTGGGTCCAAAAAGCTTCGAACCATATCAAATTTCTCTCCAGTTTGATTCCGCTATAAAAGTTGATTGAAATTTAAGTCAAAGTAAACAAATAATTTTAACCACACATTTCATTGGACCCACAACTTTTCTGCCACACATTCCATCCACTTTTATCAAAATCTACTTAAAAAACTATTTTTTGTCTAACAAAACAGGGGTCTAAACTTTCCTTTTTCTTTCATTAATTATATAGCATACAATCTAGCCATCCCTAACATTTATATTTTAATGTCTAGTCTTGAAGAAAACTGTCATCACTTTCTACATTAATTGATATCTTAATTACTTTTTAGCTACACTACCTAGACCTAAATTTGAAAGTAAGACCTATGTAATAACTATCATACTCAAACATTAATTCAAATAAATAAACGTGTCCAATCTCTAATCACTTGATCTTTTAGTTGGAGTGGTTAACATTATATTGGAACAAGGCAAAGGCATGAATCTAAGTCCATTTGCCACCCAATTATGAGAACTATACACTGATTGGGGGCTTGGAATTTAAGAAATAATTTGGAAAGCACATGAGAAGCCATGTTTTGCAAAATAAATGTAGATAAATAAGTGTGAACGATAGCTTAAACTTTTAGATGTCAAGACATAGTTCAAACTTATGTGAAGATCTCAAGCGGCAAAAACCAGGCTAATCAGAGAAAAAAACGAAACAATTAATACTTATTGATCCCAGTTTTTTGGTGGCCGCGAGAATCATGGTCCAAGAAAAGAAAAAGATACTGCTAACTAAATGACAAAAATGTCCTTATAAGGGACAGGTAAAGACCCAAAGAAAAGGGCAAAAAGCTGAAAATAAATGGAATAAGACATACTATTAAGCAGGAACAAAATATCTAATCACACTCATTGACATAAAAAATTTCATTGTCACACATGATCACCAGAACCAAACTACTAAATATTTACAAGGGATTTCTTTCCAATAAAATAAAAGAAAATGACAGGTTACCTTGTTACATCCTGGGACCAGCTCCTGTAATAGTTTCATTCGGGCATTGATCTTCTCTCTTCTGGCCTATATAAACATAACCTAATTAAGCCCCCGGCCTGCTAAAAACCTAATAGAAATTAAAATTTGGACCGTTTATCATTCAAATGCACATTTTTTATTGATTAAAAGTGTCTACTTTTTAGACCATTTGCAGAGCACATTTACAGCCTTAACAGGCAAAATTTCCATGTTTGCCCTTATCAAATGTACACATTATGCATAAATGAGGGTAAAATGGACAATCTCTAATCTTCAAAAGCTAGAAAATGGACCAAATTTCAAACGTGAGCCCTGATGATTTGAAGTAAGAATGAACTGTGAAATTGGCACAATCACGCCCAGACGGGCTAAATATTAAAGCTAATCACGTTTTACTATTACTAATCAAGATTAAGCCAAATGATTAACTGGTGATTATAAGCTTAAAATAATTTACTCTTTCAGCTAGGCTATGGCTATCGGTGGCTAGGCCACGGCGAGTTCTGACGTGAACATATGGCAGCTTCTCTCCGCCGTCTTCAGAGGCTTCATTTGGTGCCACTCTTTTGCTCTTCTTATTCGATTCTTTAACCTGAAAATAAACCATTCATCAAACAATATGAAAGATTTTTTAACTATATAATCAATGCGTTACAGACATCAGATTTCATGAAATGGGTTTCAAAAATCGTCGTTAATGGTTATGAAATTACCTTTTTCTCCCTTTCCTTTCGCTTACTGAACTTCAGATTCTGGTCAGAAACCACCGGAGAATAACAATTCGGGTTCGAATCCGAGTCTATATGCTCTTGCTTGACAACATCAAGCTCCTTCGAGATCGAAGCGGACAGCATTGAGTAATTTTCTGGCGAATTATCAGCCATTGCTAAGGCAGAAAATTTCGAAGCATGATCAATGAGGGCAATATTCGAAGGAAATATATGCGGCAGAGGAAAATGAGAAATGTTGGGTTTTGTCGGAAATTCTTCGTCGGCGGATTCCGGAGAGTTGACCAAGAGCTCAACTGCCTGTGGTACTGGAAGTTCGAGAAGCGCAGTGAAGGAGCTGGCGGTCTCCGGCGGTGGCGGTGCGGGGATTAGTCCGGGGATATCATCGAATCCGAACCTGATATCTCCGGGTTTGGGCCCGTAAATTCCGGATCTATATTGCAGTTCAGTTGCTTCAACTTTTGGTTCCATTAAGAAGGTTTCAAAGAAACACTTATATAGCGTAATAATCAACTTCTAAGTCACCAAAATTGAGTAGATTCCGGTCCTATAACTTCAATACAGTTCGATTTTCCAGAATTCAAACCTTCGTGTCTACAACTTCACGCAAAACCCAACTGAAATCATCCAAAACTGAGCATGGAATAAAATTCAAATCGGGCTCTAACTATCGGCCAGTTCTGAGTCTCCCACAATAAATTTTCAAAATTCGAAGATAAGCTCAATGAAATTTAAAGAAATCGAGAAAATGGTGTGTTTGATGGATATTATTTTGGAAGAATATATTTTGGAATAGTAGATTGATGGAGAATGTGTGGTTGAAAAAGAAGGAAAAGTTATTGATGTGATGGAAAATATTATTTTAATGAAGAATGTGTGGTTGAAAATGAGTAGAAGAATGAGAAAAAGAAAGAAAAGTTATTGATGTATGCCAAACAGAGGCCAGTTTGAAAATGATATCTTAGGGTCAGTTTATATATAACAGAAATAATTTTGAAAAAAGTCTTATTAGTACAAGAATTTCTTATATTTGATCCCGTGCAAAACATTCATGCGTTTCAATTTTTTGTATTTTTTCCTATATTTTTACGTTTTATTGTAAAAAAAAATTATTTTCATCAATTATCATCAAATTTCTTAATTAAAAATTATGAAATAATAAATATACCCTCTTATTTAATTAAAACAAAAAAAAAAAAAAAAANNNAAAAAAAAAAAAAAAAAAAAACAATTGACACAAATTACAATCGTACTTCCAATTGTTTCAAAAAAGTACTGATAAATTTCAAATAAATTAAATTAAAAAATCAAAAAAAGAAAAGAAAAACATTCTTCTTCTTTGCCCCTCTCGCTCTCTCCCACCAACGCCAGCACCACCTTCTTATCAGCATTGAAACTCCATCTCGACCTCAGTTGAGGTAATCCCCTCTAATCTTACCCTCCTCCACGACTACCACGAACTTCGCCTCTACCTTATCATCATCATCATCATTTCCCTCCAATGATTTCAAGTTGTTTTCAATCAAACTAGCTTCCCATAGCTATACCTCACTAAAAGACATTTTACTTTCAGTCGTAGTCAACTCCTCGAGGCCCAGCGTATCTCATCAAGCTCAATTAGGGTTCGATATTTGCATTTGCAATCGCCTCGTGAAGCAGGCTGCTTGAGCTTATCTCCAGCTTATGTCCATGAACAAATCCTCGAGAATGTGGAATGTATCATGTGTACAAACAACGATCAAGCCGCCAAGCAAAGCTGAGATAAGCAGTGGGTCCAACGTTTGTAAAGAACACCACAACAACGGTAGACACCACCAAAATCTCACAAGGCGAAAATGGGCGTCCTGCGATTACAACTGGTTTATCTGAAGGACGAAATATGTAAAGGAAAAGCCACGCACCAAGTGAAAGGACGGTTAAAGAAATGTAATTGACGTGAAAGTATGAGATGTTCTTGTAGATGTGGAGGCGACTTTAGATAATGAGTCGGGGCATGCAAAGGAAGAGCGATTGAGGAGTTTGTACCGGAGGCGACGCTAGAAGAGGTTGTGGCGTATAGTCGTGGAAAGGTGGGAGAGGAAGGCACGGATGGAGATCGGCGTCGTCGTCGCGTCAAATTGGAAGGTCAAGATCGGGAGCGTCGACAGAGAGGCCATTCGTGATTTTTTAGAGAGGAAAGAAGATGATTTTTCTTTTCTTTTTTTATTTTTTATTTAATTTATTGGGATTTATTTTTTAAAAAAAAAAAGAAAAGAAAATTAAGAGTATGATTGCAATTTGTTTATTATTTTTCTTTTCTTTTCTTTTTTATTTAAACAGGAGTGTATATTTATCATTTTACAAATTTTAATTGAAATTTTGGATAAAAATAGAAGAAAATAATGTTTTCCAAAATAAAATATGGATGAAAATGAAAAAAATTCCTCAATTTTGACCCAATTTGAATGGGTTGATTCATAGGGGTTGAAAAAAATTGATACATGTTATTTTTTTAGGCATTGATTTTGGATAATTTAAAAACAACCAAAAATCAGTGTATTGTAATTTTGACTGATTCATTCAAATTACCAAATCGTTTTGACAATTTCTCATATTCTCTTCTAATTTTATCATTTATAAAATAATTATTTCCTACCAATATAAATGTTCAAAATTAAATTGTAAATACAAATATATTAACTAAAAAAATTACATTATAATTAAAGATTACTCATAAGTAAATTTATAAGATAAAAATCGCTTTTATATATATAAAAAAAGTGTTTATAAAATAAAATACTACTAATAGGATAAAATGTTACTTATAAAATTTAAAAAATCATTTATAAGTAAAAAATTCAATTAAAATTATTTAAAACTACAAAATTAACTTCTAATTATAAAGTTTACTTATAAATAAAAAATACTAACTTAAAATTTTAATCAAATATTTTAATTTATTTAACTTTTTAAGTTAAATATTAATTTATATGTAAAAAAGTATTACATATAAGTATTTTATCACTTATGAGTGAAAAAATTCATACAAGAAACTATAAATTGAAAATTCACTAAGAAATATACATATATAATTTTATATTTTAAAAAAAAATTTCAGAACACGTGGATAAAATAAATTTTCAAATAGTTTGTTCATAAAATAACTCAAAATATGTTCGTTCATAAATGTTCAAAATCAATACTTTGAAAAATGCTCATAATCAATACCTCGAAACTTCCAACCACGTACTAAATAGCACAGAAGAAGAAACGTACTTGGTGTTGTGGGCTTTTGGTCTAATGACTCAATAGGCAGGTGTAGTGTGTGGGAACTGACCCGGCTTCCATTTAGATCCGTAGGATGACCCATCACTTTCTTTGCATGTATAGAGACGGCAATTCGAACTGTTAAAATCGAAAATCGCGGTTAACTCAACCGAATGGGGCCACAAAAATAGAACCGATGGTACAATTGGGTGGTTATAGCTTTTATTTTAATGACCCGGTTCGGGGTGTGACGAGTATGGTATTTCGAGACGGTGCCCAGGCTAGAACCGATTATATGTTAAAAAAAAAAATTATTGGACAATTGTGCTTTCCATTATTCTTTCTTAAAATTAATTGGACAATTTTGACAATTGACAAAGATGTACAAGTTTTGTTTAAATCTTCAGTTAAGACCATTATTTATTCGGTAGTATGATTGTATTATTACTCTAATTAATTTTCATTTGGGATATTGTTTACTATATTGACTTAATATTGTATTTTTGTTTTTATAGATTTTTCTTCATAGTTTTTTTTTTCAATTTAACGGTTGGAATTTGGACTTATAAAAAACTAATTTATTTTCGTGGTTATTAACCGAACCGAGCGGAATCGAACCGACTTACGTGATTATGGTGAGATTATGGTATGACCAAAAATTCAGTGGTGCGGTTATGATTTTGGCCGAACAGATCCCGAATCATTGCCATCCCTATGCATGTATAGTCATTTATGCAAAACTGAAATATATACCATAAAATGCGCGTACATATTGCTTTTAATGTAATTAATTATTTATTGCATCTAAAAGTTTAGAATTATGTTATTTGTATCATTTGGGGTACACTTTAGTTTACCCAACTCCATCTCTTCCCTCACATGAGGTCGGGTCCCACATCCAATAAATGTATGGAACAAGACCCCCATGTGAGGGAGATGGTGGGGTCGGGTAAACCAACATGTATCCCAAAGGTTACATGTAGCAAGATTAAAAAGTTTTAAGCATAAAAAAGGTCTACCTATATTTGTTAGCCTAACACATCCCCGTCTTTAATAAATGGATGGCGACAAAAATGAAACCAAATCTTTGGTATTTAAGTCGATAAAAGTAGATGCGCAATAAATAAAATATTGTTTTATAAGAAAAACGTGACAAATTAAGTTAGCCTTGAATCCCACTTTAGTAAGCACAAGCATGGTTAGATTGTTCAACTGAAAACTCGAGTAAACAAAACAAATCTTGTTTTGCGTAATTCTAACTCAATTTAGAGATTTTGGGAATTCTCTTAACGAGAAAGTAATTATAAATTTAAGAAGTAGAAATTACACTCACAAATGATTTTTTTACTTTTAAATTCAAAAATCAAGTTTAAAAGTTTTTTATTAAAAAATCCCGTGATAATTCAACTTATGTGGGTGTTTGGCCCCGGAAGAATTAGTTTTTGAATAATAATTGATGGGAGAATGTGTGGTAGAAAAGTGATTAAAAGTTTTAGGGCGTGTTTGGTAGAGATTAAAATCGGATTAAAATTGAAAAATTAGCCGTTATTATTGACTTTTATTAGACGAGTGAGACTCAATAACGGCTATATTTTCAATATAGCCGTTATTGTTGACTTTTATTAGACGAGTTAGACCCAATAACGGCCATATTTTCAATTTTAATGTGATTTTATACTGTACCGAACAGACAGATTTGTGTATAATATTATTTTATTTGAAAAATGTGTGGTTGAAAATGAGTACCATAGAAAAATGAATGGGTAAAAAGGAGAAAGAATGGTGCTCAAACATGGGCTAAAAACGTAACCTAAATTTGTGACCACTAAATAATATGTAACCTAAAAAAAGTGAGTTTGTGACTAAATTTGTAATCGTGACTTACAATTTGATAATGCATGACCAATTAATTTAATAATTTGTGACTGAAAAATAAGTCGTGATCTATAGAATTTGTGATTTGTGACTATAATGTTCTATGATTGTTACTAGTACGTAACTATGACCATAAATTGTATAATATTCTAACATTAATTTATTTAATTAATAAAACATTTTTAATTGTCTATTTAATTAGTAAAATTTAATTATGATATGATTTTTGAAATTTTAAAATAATTTTCTTACTTTTGAAATTATATCTCTCAAACACCTTATATATGTATTATTTTCATTGAAGAATTGATTGGGATTATAAAAAATAAAATATATATTTGGCGAGAGAA